TACCATCAAGTATAATTCATTTTCACTAAGATAGATTATATCCTTTATTTCAAAATAATCTTTTGATCAGTTCTCTTTAATTCATATCCACTTATGGTAAAGTAGTCAAGCTAATCACAGAAATCATTTGAAGTAGATATTTTCATAAACAAGCAATTAGGCACTTTTAAAATGAGTTTGGGATGTGATTTTAATATAAAATTGATACAGTCTTCATGATAATCTTAGCATTAAGCAGAGTGCTATTCAGTCTCTGTTCTTCCAAGATTTTACAGTTGCAGTGATCAATTATTATGAGGTGAAGACACATAAATACTCATTCATCTGGCCAGCAGTGATAGACTTTCCAAGACGGGGCTCTTTCCAAAGGGAACTCTTTCATCCCTTTTGTGGCATGACCTACACAGATGACCTACTATGAGGACTCAGCACATCTGATATCAAGGTTCCGAATCTTTAAAGATGGCCCATTCAATTAAATTTCAGGCTTCCTAGAAAAAGATCTGTAACCTGGATGCAAGTTAACAGCACTTGGACTGACTGAAGTGTGACTTGAAGATGTGCAGTGCATCTCCTTCAAGGGGTCCAGCAGGATGCTGTGCTCATCTACCCCATATCCCAGCTCTCCTCCCACCTAGTTTCTTACAGCCCCAGCTGCAGGCAGGTGGCAGGCGTAAAATTGTGACAGGTTTTATAGGAACAGTGAGGGGTTAATGACAAGGTGGTCTTCCCAGAACAGGTGTGCAGGCATGCAGCTGATGCAGGGCTGCTGGCTTTGGGGAAGCAGTGTGACTGTGGTCTGTGCATGAGCTGTGTAGCCCCCATGCAAGAAATGCTGTGCAAGGAAGGGCTGCAGCAAGAGCAGCTCATCCAGCTGACCATCCATGGCGGAGACCCAGCTGCAAAGCTGGCTGAACTCTCTTGCGAAGGGCATCTGTAGCTACCCAAGCTAAAATACATTTTATAGCCCTAAAACAACTTTCTTGTTCCTAAATAAATATCAAATTACAGAGGACTCATATCAGCTATCTCTTTACATGCACATTTTTCAAGCTTAAAAGACATTATTGAGATAAAGATGGTGTCATAAAAATAAGAAAAGAAGTGGAGTAAAGGTAGCACAAATATTTCATTAAAGGGGCAAGAAAATGTCAGTTTTGAACAATGCCATCAAAATACTTCCTTGTCTCCTTGAATTGCTGCCTTCTTTCTCTTGGAAAGGGCAATATAAGAAATCTCTAGTAATTTATTGTGAATGATACAGGCCCATCACCTGCTGTGTTTTCCTGTGATGAAGATGATAAGATACCCCTTTATCATTGTGGTGCCCAGCACCAACAATGAGCCTTGCAGTTAACATTCAGGGGATTGCTTACTGCTCGGATAAGCAGCATGGATCTTCTTGCCTTTAAAGAAGGCTGAAAGACAGTTCTTTCCTCAACTGAATACACACAGATGGATTTCTGTTGTTAATAAAAGAATGTGTTTTGTCAGACAAATGAGCAAGAAGGTATATTATTTCTGCCAAAACATGTATAGAACTGTAATCTTTCTGGTTTTTAACTATAATATTAATTTCATATAGCTCTTAGCAGGTAAATAGAGGCTCTTCAAATTTTTGTTTGCTTGTTTAAAACAAAGAATAATTAAATGCCTTGTATATTATTTGTTTGGGGGGGGGTCAGTAAAAAAATATACTTGCATTCAACAAATATTTCCATAAATAAAATTTGTGTTCAAGAATACAATCCCTTCTTTCTGCCATATGGCATTTTTTCTTGCCTACAACTATTGTCACATGCAGGAGAATCACACACCTTTGATTTTTCATATTCAAACATTTCCTAAAAACCTATTTGAAACACAATACAAATTCCCCTTATAGGCAGAGCTGAGGAACCCTGAATTCTTCACCTTTCAGTATCAGAATGTTTCTGTACTTCTTGATTCTTTGCAGCTGTTTTGCAAACTTGTGAGAAATTGTTCTAAAGCCTAACAGCACTGAATAATACTAAGCTAAAGCAAGAACAGTTGAAGGCTGTGATTTATTCAGCACCTTAATCTCCCACCATGTTCAATGGGAACAAAGGGAATTCAGGAATCTCAGCAAATTCAAATTCCTGAAGAAGAGTAATGTTTTGTCCTATTTAGTTTCTCCTGAAAACGTATGTACATAACTCAATATGTCCTTATTTAATATTAGTTTTGCATTTCACACTGACTCATTTCATAGTAGCTACATATTTTTCATAACCCTCAGACCTGTAGTACATCTGACCTGGGATGAAAGCATAGCTGCACTGCAGTAAATAACAATACTCCCTCAGTGCGTAACATACAGCATCTTGACCCAGAGACCATTTTTCCCACACCCTACAACTGGTTGAACATAACGCAGCTGCCACGTGTCAGACAGGACTGAGCAGACCAAACTCAAAGGGCTATCTGGTTCAAAAGATATTTCATGTGCTTCCAATTTTAGGGGAGTCTGTGTGGAACAGAACCAGAGATCCTCCCAGGAACCAGGTGTTTCAGGGCTACTGCTTTACAGATCTCCAAAATGCAGTGATTCCCAAACATGGCCTGAGATGCCACTGAAACACTCCCAGTGCTTGTGGGGAGAGTCAAGCCAAGAACCAGGGTGCAGGGCCACCCCAGGGTCACAGCCACTGGCTCCTCCCATTGACATCTGCAAAACTTCCCAGGACTGGGCAGCACCCAAGCTCACAGCTCCGGAGATGTTGGCCAGAGAAGGGGTTTTGTCTTGGGTACTTTGAAAATCTATCAAACACACGAAACACTGCAGACAATGCTCCAGGCTGGAAGAATCAGTACATCATGGTTTTGAAACTAAGGTAGTGAGAAAAAGAGCAAGAAATAAACAAATAAAAAACAATTACATCTATAAATATTTAAATTTTATGATGGGATATTTCAGAAAATTTTCTTGAAGCTTCCTTCCCCAACCTCAACTGCTGCATTGAATTTTTAATTACTTTAATATGAGGATGAAGTAGAAACAATTCCAACTTTAGATTTGTTCTTTTTATGGTATTATAAAATGAGTGTAAGTTTGTGAAATAAATTCCAGAATACTTTTGCAATGAACTTTATTTCAATGGATTTTTTTTTTTTCACAGAACCACCTAATTGTCTTAAAGATATTAAATGGAAAAGCAGGGTTCTGAATATGATGAAGAATGTTCATTAAAATGTACATCTCATCTGAAAGAGCTTGGTCTGAGTTGCTAACAATTAAAAGAAGTTGTCGGTATCTTGGATTCTGATGAAAAGACTGCATTTTGCATGGAACTCCCCCAGAATATTTGCCTACCAGCTCTGAAAGTAAAAAGAAAAATTATACCAAGCAAATTAAGCTACTGTGAGCCAAAGCCATCTTTCCTGTCCTTGGGAGAGTTGCCAGCTCTGTTAGGAAGAAAAGGTTAAAATCAATAACATTTATTTAATTCCACAGTGATGTATCTTCATTCCTCTCCTACGTTCAAAACAGCATCTTACTCAGGGGAGCAGGGCCTGTATCAGCTTAGCCCTGAGGGAGCCAGAGCAATGTACTTTTCCCCACATTCATGATTTTCTCACATTATAGCTGTGCTTTCCCCTTTGCTTCAGAAACAAAACTTCAGGAACTACTGGAGCCTTCTGTAGAGCAACAGTAATCTGATGTTCATTACTGAGCAACAGGACAGAGATGCCATGGCTCCTGCTGAGGTATGTAATTCTTGCTTGCCTTCAATTAAATTGTTACAATGTTGAAGAAAATATTTAGTCAAAATATCTTAGGCCAGATAAATGTTTCTTATTTTGAAGTGTTATAAACAGTTCAAAATATGACCAAATTCTCTGAAATGATCACAGGCTCGGCTTCTGGTATGGTACGTGGCTTCATGTTAAAGATCAAGGGAAGTGACATCCTGCTGAAGATTTTAGTAAATGAGGACTTCAGACAGGCCAGTAAATTGAAATCAATGCCATAGCTACACAGTCAGCTAAGCAAGGGAATTCACTCATCACATTAGTTTTCAGGCTGATTGGGGCATGGGGGCACTCGCAACTGCAGGAGAGTGTGACAGAGGTGAGAGTGCCCAGGGACAGAGGGGACACAGGGCAGGACTTCTCTTAGCAGCACATTAGCAGGGTGGTGTGGCCACATCCTGAGCTCATGTACCTGTGTGTTGAGCCTCATCTGGAGGACACTGCTCTCAAAGGTAAAATCAGTGAAAAGTATTCACAGCTCTGCTTTTGACATCACAGACCTTTTGCAATCCCTGGAGACAGCAGCTCCCACCAGCATCCCTGAGCATCCACAGATGCAGGGCTGAGTGTTTTTACAATGCACGCAGGGCTTTTTCTACACTCACAGAGCAAGTCCAACAGAAAGTTTTACGTGTTTTCATTTTTCTTTTGCCATGGAAAGGAAAAGGATCATCATCAAAGAGGATGAGGACCATTAAAAACTCAATATTCTGCTACAATGATTGGTTTATGGCCTCATTTTGTAGCAGCTTTATCACACATGTGGCTTCATTGCCTGTCCTGTAGTCCATGCACTTTAAGAGTTTGTTATCTTCAGGACACGGTGCTCTTGTTTTCGGAATAGCTGTTACCTGGCACAGGAACTGCTGTGGAGTGAAAATTAAAGAAGACCTAATTCTCCAATTTGTTAGCCAGTTCTGGCACCATGTGGGAAACTAGAAGGAAAAAACCTGTGGGCTGGAGATCAGACCTTGCATTGCTGATGGCTTTTACTGAAAAACTAGTCTTTTACAAAGCACTACTGCATGAAAAATAGTGGTGCTTAATTTTCTGTTAATTGCCTGCCCTTAGCCAAACCCAACTAAAATTTTGTGGTAACCCTTAGGTGATGAGACATGCACTACATCACACCTTGAAGACAGGAAGAGCAAAATAGTAATGCTTAGAAAATACCCTGCTGTCTGCTGCACAGCATGGCAAAAGCTCACACATTTGAAAACTGTAAACATATTCCAACTCACATTTATTCACGTTACTGCTTTCACATTGATGTGGTGGAATATACTGCTCATTTCAGATGAGGCCACCAACATGCCCCAGTAAACTCTTGATATCTTTTATACCATGAATTAATACTGTACTCAGAACATTAATAAATACTTGAAAAGTCTGTAAATGACCTACAGTGAACTCCTTCATAAAAGTATTTACCTTATTTAAGTGTATTTATTTTGGTGTCAAAAAATATTATACCATGAACATCTGGATGAAATTTTTCTGAAAAATTCGTACACCTGGTATGGTTTTTGTCACTGTTGCTGTAAGTCTGCCTGAGTTTGGGAGAGCAGAAAGTGATGAAGAACCTGAAGAACCAAGCTAGATTTGATCTTAAGGTGCTCACTTTCCTCTCATTCTTGAAGCAGCGCAGCACTTCCCAGGGAGCTCCTGTAGGCTGGTGCTCAGTGCTCTGCTGCTCTGGAGATGCCACAGTCCAAGATGAAATGTTGGATGTTTGAACCTTAGCACAGGATGAAATGTTGGATGCTTCAAGCTCCTCTTCAAGTCTGCACACATCAGACTTCCTTGTATGCATGTGTGCATGTGTGTGTGCATGCGTGCATGTGTCTGCTACTCACCATGACCACAGGGCAAAACCAAGCAGCTAATGCTAAGTACATGATGCTGCCATCTCTGACTGTGCCCTTTAGACATAGCCTTCGTGGCAGACATGGTTGCCATTGATAAGGCTGAAAGTAGCCAGGGAATGGTTGGTGCTCTTGAGGGAGGTCATTCGTGTGGTACTCCTGGCCATGCTCTGGGACCGGATGAGGAGGTGAGCTCTGCAGCAGAGCAGCTGCTTGTTGAACTGTTTCCGGAAGCTCTTGCTGAGCAAGTAGAGAGCAAACGGGTTAACACAAGAGTTAGTGAATGCCAGGATCCGAGCGCAGATGCTGGCAATGAAATGCAGCATTGAGGTGTCTACCTCTGAGTAGTGATATGACCGGTATAAATAGATGATGTGAGTAGGGAGCCAGCAGAAAGCAAAGAGGCACACAAAGACCAGTACTGTCCTGGCAAGACGTTTACGGGATTCAATCTGGAAGAAGAAAGAGAAATGCAGATTAGCAGCTACTCCTATCTTAGATTAGTAGCTAACTATTTTTGCCAGTGCTGCAGCTTTGGGATTAGAGCATGGCAGGAAGCACGGCCAGAGCAAGGCAACCTGGTCTTCAGGTGAACACACAGTCAAGAACCCCACCTTGTCTCACCTCAATCCCTTGCCCTAAAAACAAATAATTCTGAAAATTTACTACATGAGAAGTAGCATTTCTTTTCCTGATTAGAGATAAAATTCCAGTGGCTTGTAACTTTATAAAATCCCAGCTCCAGCAACAAAAGTGTGGATATCTCCTGTCATCTTGCACCCCTACCAGTTTGATGCCATTGTCAGCCATAGCTGCCCAGAGCCTAGAGAGGGATTGCAGGAAAGCATCTGAAAAGCAGCACAAAAGAATTCCAGCCACTCCAGCCAACAGGTGGACTTAATTGGGGGACCAACTTAAATGCCTTCTGTAAATGCATGGGAAATAAACAAGAGGAGTTAGAGACATGCATATGCCTGCAGAGCTATGATCTCACTTGCATCACAAACACATGATCTTCCCTGGCAAGTGCTCCAGCCACACTGCCCAAGTCACAGAAGGCAAAGTCACAGACTGGGAGATGGAAAAACCTTCCACTACAGGAGAAGGTAAGGTTCAAGACCATGTAAGGAACCCGAAGTGTGAACAACTCCATGGGACCTTATGAGATCCATCTGTAGGCCCTGAGGGTTGATAGAGGTGAATGAAGTGGCTAAGCCACTAGACATCATATTTGAGAAGTCAGCATTGAAGTGCCCACTACTGAAAAGCGAAAACATAACCCCCATTTTTAAAAAGGGAAAAGGGAAGACACGGAGAACTACAGGACAGTCAGTCTCATCTTGGTGCCTGGTAAGATTATGGAGCAGATCTTACTGGAAAATATGTTAAGGCACAGGGACAATAAAGAGGTGATTGGTGACAGCCAGTAAGTCTGAACTAAAGGCAAATAATGCCTGACAAATTTGCTGGTTTTCTACAAGGTTATGGCTTTGGTGGATAAAGACAGAGCAACTCATGTCATCTACCTGGACTTGTGTAAGCTGTTTGACACTGTCACACATGACATCCTTGAACTGGAGAGACCCGATTTTGACCACTCGGATAAGGAATTGGCTGGATGACTGTACTCAACTGGCTAGATAGCTGTACTCAGAGAATTGTGGGCAATGGCTCAATATTCAAGTGGAGACCAGTGATGAGTGACACTCCTCAGGGGTCGATATTGAGACTGGCACTGTTCAAATTCTTTCTCAGCCACATGGACAGTGGGATTGAATGCACCTTCAGGAAGTTTGCTAATGAGATCAAGCTATGTGATGCAGTTAACATGCTGGAGGGAAGGGATGCCATCCAGAGGGACCTTGACATGCTTAAGAGGTGGGCTGATGCCAGCTTCATGGAGTTCAACAAGGCCAAGTGCAAGGTCCTGCACATGGGTTGGTGAACCCCAAGCACAAATACAGGCTGGGTGGGGAATGGATTGAGAGCACCCCTGAGTAGAAAGACTTGGGGATGTTGGTTGATAAGAAGCTCAAGATGATTTAGCAATGTATGCTTGCAGCCCAGAAAGTCAACCATATCCTGTGATGTATCAAAGGGAGTGTGAACAGCAGGTTAAGGGAGGTGATTTTCCCCCTGTCCTCGGCTCTTCTGAGACCTCACCTGGAATAGTGTGTTCAACATAAGAAGCATGTGGCCCTGTTGGTGCAAGTCTAGAGGAGGCCATTAAGATGATCAGGAGGCTGGAACACCTCTCCTATTAAGACACACTGAGACAGTTGGGGTTGTTCAGCCTGCAGAAGAAAAGACTCCAAAGAGACCTTAAAGCAGCCATCCAGTACCTAAAGGAACCTACAAGAAATCTGGAGAGGGACTTTTTATAATGACATGTAGGGATAGGACAAGGGGGAATGGTTTTAAACTGCAAGAGAGTAGATTTAAATTAGATATTAGGAAGAAGTTCTTCACTATGAATGCGGTGAGATATTGGAAAAGGTTGCTCGGAGAAGCTGTGGCTGCCCCATCCCTGGCAGTGGTTCAAGACCATGTTGAATGGGGCTTTGAGCAACCTGGTCTAATGGAAGGTGTCCCTGCCCATGGCAGACGAGTTGGAACTGAATGATCTTTCAGGTGCTTTCCAACCCTAAACATTCTATGATTCATATTTGCATTAGTCATCCACATATAATACTGACATACATAACTTTTATGTATTAACTTACTATTATTACTATTATTATTATTAATTATGGTTGACGGGTGTGGGATCTTTCACAGAGCCCAGAGGCAGGACTTTCTGCCTTGGGGCCATGTGGTGTATGTACACAAAAGTGCTGCCAACAGCTCATGGCCCTGAGAGACCAAATACAGCGCTTGGAGGCTGAAGGAGCCAGGGAAATGGAGAGGAAATTCTGTACTTGGAGAGACACAGAGGCAGTGGTGATGTGCACCCCTCAACTTAAAGAGCTGGGGCCATGAGAAGACAAATGTAGGTGGTGAATAGATGGATGACTACCTCTCTTAGCATAATTTGAGCTTTTTCAGGGAAAGGTGCTTTTACAATGTCAGCTAGCATACAGTGTAACCTTCACACAGACAAGCCACACTTTTGTTTTTCTTATGTGTACAGGCTTGGAGTCAATCCAAAGGTATTGCTCAACCGAGGGGAACTGAGGTAACCAGTAACATGTCCTTTGTCCACCAGTGCTGCGTAGTGAAATAACAATGCCACTCAAAACCACGTTTCTTCCTAATGAACACAAGAGCAGTGGCAGAGGTTGCTCAAAAGGAGAAGACACGCAGAGTTGTCCAGAAAGATCTGGTAAAATACACTGCTCCCTGGGAGAGGTTGTGAATCCACGTTTGCAGGCATGGGAAGTGTAATACCAGTAACTTTTTAGGGTTTCACAATGTTCTTCCCTCTGGTAATCTCTGCACCTCTTCCCAGGCACTCCAAGGGAATTGGTTGCATCCCATTTCCTGTGTTTGATTAGAACCTGAATGGACTGAAACTGCCCCTAAACCCGGCCTTGCTGCCCTTGCTTCTGCCCTGGTGCAGCTGTGGTGCCTGGCCCAGAGTCTTAGACAACTCCCCATCCTCACTCCTCTTCCGAGCTGCACGATAAATTAGAAATTAAGCATTTTACACAGGCTGATCTTTCCTCAGGGCAGCTGCAAGCAGGGAATAGGCAGGAGAGACCTGACAAGCCCATTTTGACTTTATTTTGTGCCCCTTTAATGGCACTGACTGAAAATCAGACATTGAACTCAAGAAGGATTGACATGTACCAGATGATAATGTCTCTAGAGAACGGCCTGAAAATTAAATCCTTTGAGAAAGGGTTCTCCTTGGCTGAACCATATATTCTTTTTAAATGTATCCTTAATTTGATATAGGGCCATTGAGGCCACATCTGCACTATAAAGAAAGGAAGCAATGCAATAAAGAAATCAATACCAGTTATCTCGGAGACCTATAGCTCATGAATGCACTGCAGGATAGGAATGATGGACTGTTAGATTGCAGCCTGGCCTTTTGCTTTCTTTAGAGCTCTCTCCCCAGAACCAAAGGGGGAAAGGGCTACTTTTACTACTCCCTTTATTGTCACTAATCAAGACAATCATCAAATCACCAGAAAAATGGCCTGCAAGGGAGAAAGTGTTACATGCATTCAGAAGGGAAAAAGGATAAGTATTTTGGGGATCAGACATCATTTAATGGGAAGGAAACACAACTTTCCAGCCCTACTGTTTCACCTTAGCACCTGAAGGTTGCATCAGATGATAGCAATAGGTCATCCTAAGGTGTAGATGTCAGCTGTGTGCAATTTTATGAATAATTGTTCAGCTGAAGAATGGCTTGTGTCAGTTTAGTTTAGGCTGAAGCACACCTCAGTTGAAAGGAAGAAGTAAGGTAAATAAGGTAAATAAGTTTTTTAGAAACAAGTTACCGTGCTGTTGCCTTTTTACTTGGACAGCCTAAGGCTGAGATGCTTCACTTTTAAACACTGACCTGAAATACCCAGTTGCTCATACAGAATTTGGATTTCCCCCTGGAGATTTCTCTTTTTCTCTCCAGTTACATAGAAAAGGAGCAGTCAAGAGGAAGGAGTCTCCAGCTGAGAGGCTGGAGTTAGGCTTGCCAAATCCTGGCTAATTCCCTTCACTTAGTTCAGGACTTGCACATTTCCAGCCACACATTTTCAACCAGGGCATGAAACCCCCATTTGAAATACATGGGTCTCAGCTGAGCAATCCCAATCATGAGCTCTGCAGTGGGGTGGCTTGGGAAGTTTTATAATAAAGACCCTACTCATGAATGACAGTAACAGAAGTAACTCTGCTTTCAAAGGTATAGAGGGACGGTTAAAAGGTGGCATTATTCCAGAGCAAATGGCCTGTTTATATGTTTATCAAAGTTTATCAAAGACTAAGGTTTAACCTGAGGCTACCAGTTATTGGACCAGAAGACTAACCAGTCTGGCTTGTAACAGGGGGCATATAACAGGTGGGTAGGTTATTCTGTCCAACACCACTCCCCCCTCCACAGACCCTAAAAAATTAGGCACTTTTAAAAAGACAATTATAATGACCAACTAGTTTAAAGGAAGAAGCCAGGACTCTTCTCTTTTCCTGAGATTGCACAACCCTAAAAATCAAACCATCCACAAGGCAGGTAACTTCAGAGTATCTGTGAGGACCCCCACTATCCTGCTCCATCCTCCATCCTTGAGACATTGTGCCCACCACTGTCCTCCTATGGTCTCCACTTCCTCAGTCCCTCTCTAGTCTGTACTGGTTTCTCAACATGACAGCACCAGTAAATGAGATCTGCAGCCAAGGTGAATGCAGCAGGCATTGCTGCTGTTGTGGAGCAGTCACATACCTCCCTGACTGACCAGAGCTCCTGGCGAGGGAGGGACCCTTGGAGAAGGGGCTTCCCCTACCTTCACTCCCCCATTGCTCTGTTCCATTCACTTTTCAGTCTAGAGTATTGAATGACAGAGCCAGCTTTTCCCTCTGTGCAAAGAGGTTCTGCTTCATGGCACAAGGCTTTATCTGGAGTCCTCTCTCTAACAAAGCAACTTTGAGAAGTTTTGATTTTCTGTTGTGTCATCCATCAGCTTCAATCTCCAGGCATTGTATCCAGCTCTGCCTCATTCCCTGCATCCTAGTCAATACCTTCCCAGGCTTTGGCATGGGTCTCCTGCTGTGTTTGCCATGGTAACCACCCTGCTAAAGTCTCTGAACTTAGAAACTGGAGAAGCTGCTTTAACTATTTTACCCCTGTGTCATATCTTGTTTCAACCATTTTAATCCTTTTACCCCACCTAATCAGATACAGTCTATCCCATTATAAATTTCCCTGTATTCCCTCTTTACTCCCAGATTCAGAGGGAATGTGGATTTTTGAAGAAAGTTAAGTACCTGTTTCCTCACGTGCACGTTGCCTTCCACAGGGATGTTGTAAGCACTCCGGATTAAATTCTTAGCAATGAAATAATAATATACTGAAATGACAGATAGAGGAATGATATAAAAGATGAGAAATGATGCCATTGAGTGAATTTTGGGATGCAGCCCATCTGAATGTGGGTAAGGAGCACAGCTGATGAAGGTTTTATTAGTCCCTTTTTCATGGAAAGGGTGCAGATCTGAAAACACTGCTTCAGGGATGGCAAGCAACATGGATACAATCCAGATTATAGCAGCTCTCACACAAATACTCATCAGCGCATGGGATGCTTGAATCTCCATTGGCCTTACTATAGCTTTATACCTAAAAAAAAAAGAAAAATAAATAAAAAAAGAAAAATAAATTTATTGGTCTCAACACTCAGGCATTCTTGCTTCTTCCTTCCATTTAGAAAAAACAAACAGAACAGAAGAAACAAAATCCTTTTTTACACAAGGCAGTGAAGCTTTTTTTCTGCTGTTTTAAATGTTGACGTTTTCAATAGATGTCTCATTTTAAAGCAGAATCACCTATCATGGGTCCAGTCAGTTTCATGTGTATAAATTCTGAGTTCATTAAATTTGTAATTGACCGAACAAAGCACAGTGCTGCCTGACATTAATATGTATGTGTCCAAATAGCATTAAGATAGGAAGTGCAATCACAGACTTCAGAAGTATATAGCAGTTTATAACCCTTCACAGAATGGCGTAGAAGGAAAGTGGATTGAGATTTTCCACACATTTCATTTTGACCTGGGAGTACACTGGCCTCCTGTGAGTCAAATCTTACTTTTTCTAAAGCTGAAAAATGCATGTTCCCATTTTTAATTGCTATTTGGTGGTGTAGCTGGCAATTAAGAGCTGACCATAACTCAATGAACTCCAGCTAAGTAGCCAGAGCTGGTAACTGACTTTTTTGAAGGAAAAACCATTGTTACTTTCTATACTAGATATGTAGAAGACGTTTATTGATTTGTAATTTTTGTTTCATTCTTTCAGCCTTTCAGAAAATTGTACTTTAGAATCCAAGAAAATGAAAGAATCAAACTTACTTGAACACAATGTGTGAAATGAGAGGACTGTAAAACAGAAAAGCTTCCTATCTGCTGGAGCCCTGCTCTGACAGGAGCCTACTACTCTCCAAGTGAATCATGATTTACAAATGCATTTAAGGAACACAGCAGAGGAAAAAAGACAATTTGGAAGGAATACTTACAGGTTTCATAAATTAGTATTTAAGGTAATTATCATAACAATTGCAGTGTGGGTTTTTTTTCATTCAGGATCACACTGTGCATCACTCATTTGATTCCCCCCTTGGTCAATGTCAGCTTCCTGGGGAGTGATGGGTGCCTGGGTTCTAAGCTGTCCCAGCCCACTTTTGGCATGGCAGGTACATTTCTGTGTGCCTGTTCTGGAGTGCATTTCTAACCTCTTATCAGGATCCTGGCTCTTTCCTGGCACTGGGGCAGGAGCATAGGTAGTCAGCATAACACACTACCTGAGTCCAGGCAGCATGCAGGAGGGTCCATCTCCCTGGCAGCTCAAGCCCATGCTCTGGGATGCTCTGTGTACATGATTGATTCCCCACATACTATAGTCTACCTTATCATAAAGCTCAGCATTTGAGAGGGGAGTCTATCAGTCCTGAACTGTTTTAATTGGGTAATTACCTTATTTGGAGGATAAGCATGTATTCAGCTTCTAATTATAAGCAATAACCTGCCCACCATACCTACTTATTCCTTCTATGTATGTATACATGTGTGTGTCTACATCCCTGTCTGTGTATTTTATATGCATACACATATTTATATACATATATTTGATATATATTCATGTATATACAAGTAAGCACGTGCATAGATTTAAATTTATTTACATTTATTTTTATAAAGATATATCTGGACATCTCATCATTTGCAGATGTTTCTTCATATGGGTTTCTTGTGTAGGTGATTGTTCCTTTAATGGACTGCAAACACGTTGCTCAGTACTTTTCTGGACTTACTGCTCAAGCTCTCCAGCTCCCCTTTATTCTATCTGTGCAGCTGCAGCAGCCAGACACAGTAGTTTTAAGACTTGCTTAGCACCTCTTTAACTTGCACTCTCAAACTGGGGATTCAGTGGTGTCATACTATGAAGGACAATCTTCTGGTGAAGATCATAATCTCAGGTGAAGAAAATCACAGCACTTAAATATGATGTTATGACTACTGCAGTAATAAAGTGGAAGAGCCAGGTAGATTACTAAAACAGTGTACTGAAATAGCTAATTTATAGCCTGATTCAGCAGATACAGAGTATTGACAGAAACACTAGCTAACTGAACATCCTCAGTAAGCCCTAAGGAAGATAAATAAAAAAAGAAATTAATCACATATCAATGTATTCATAAGTTTAGTTAATTCAAATGTATTTCTACAGATGATTTTTGTATGCTTATCAACATGGTATGTTAGCATAATTATTTCAGGGATTTTCTCATATAATATAGCCACCTGAGAGAATATTTTCCAATATTAAATTCTAATAACATAAATGAATTGAAGAACACAGAGAAAGAGGGCTCCTGTTTTATTTTTATCAACATTAATAGAATAGGCAGACTCAGAAAATGAATTCATTTCAAGTTATTAGCATATTTTAATTAAAGATGGCATTTTCAAATAATATAATTTTGAAAGAACATAGAAATACCTAGGAATGCTGGCACTGATTATTAGGTGTTTTGCTTATTTTGAAAGCCTCCTACAGCAGATAGAAAAGATCTGAGAGGTTTTGCTTGCAAGGGGCTCAGTGTAGACCTGAAGCATGAGGTTGAAAGCACAAAAAGACAAAACAGAAAAAAAGCTAGAAAATAGGTTTTGAAAATGTAAGTTCACAGTTGTAGGAACACAGGTAGATATATTCTTAAACGTCTGACAATTTAATCAAATTATTTTTCTGATTGGATTGCTTCTTTGATGATGGGCTTACTTATTTATAAATCTTCAGTAATCTATGTTATCCTGCTCATCCTATATTATGTTATCCTACTAATGCTTAATTGACCAGTATTGATCTGGTGGGAGTCTCCATTTCCAGCCACCTTGCTGGTGGTTCAATGGGTTTCTCCCCACCTCAGTAGCTCTACTCTCCAGGGACAGCAGCTGCAGGGGCTGCTACGTTTAAGGGCATGTGGGACACACGAATGTGATTGCCCCCCCAGGCTGGGCTTGGGCTGGTAGACCAGTGGGAGATTTGCCTGTGGTCAGTGGTCAGAGAGTGAAAAAGCTGCATCTCCTGTCTAGTTTTTCTGAGTGGGGCTCAGAAACTCTCACTCCTTTACTTTCCCACACCACTTTCCTGATAGAATCAACTCTGGATTTTATCATTTACTTGATATTTCTTAAGAACTTCAGCTGCTAGATTTGACAGCTGGCCCTGTTTTTCAGCATCTGTATTTCCAGCTTGTACGTAAAATATTATTTCAAGCTTTCCACTTTAATTAATTATTATAAATATTATTTCAAGCTTTGTCCTCTGCAACTTCTTTTTCAGTAAGTTGGCCTGACGCACATAACTTTTACATATTTAACATCCAGGACTTGAATAATCCAATCCACTTTGAAGGGGACACTTATGAATATGTCTATATACCTCAGTGGAGCCACAGACCTAGTTGGCCAGCTGAGTGAGCCATCAAGCTAAGATCTGACAACAGTGTTATTTTTAACCCATTCGTTAGCACAGGCTCTAATAATGGTATGTGTCACACTGCATGCTCAGCTTGTCTGCAGTAGATATGAACGTGGCTCTGGATTTATCACCTCCTGCTATTCTCACATTCAATCTCTGTTTATTGTTTTATATCACTCTTTTTTTAAGTCGAATTCCTTTCCCAACCCATATTTGAAGATTTTATTTTCTTTTTAAGATTAAAAACAGAGGTATAATTCAAGTCCTACAACAAAGGCCAAAACTTTGAAAGAAAAATGTGCCTTCTAAAGTTTCAATTGAACAAAAAATTATACAATCAAGAACTTGTGTCAACTCCAATTTCTCTCCAGTTGTTAACCAATGCAGATGAAAATGACTGGGTTGCCAATCCAACTGGAAATACAGAAGAGATGCTGACCTTTGCTACAGTTTAGTCTTTGAACTTCTCTGTTCCTACTGTGCTTGTGAAGCTCAACCTGACTCGTGCACAGCAGCTCCTGATGACCAGGGATGTCCAGGATGGATGCCAGTGATCTCTGTGTCTCACAGTCTCATTCAAAGAAGCCCACACAAAGAAATTACACATGGGGCTATTTTAAGTGCAGTTAATATAATGACAGTTCATGAGGCACTGGGAGGATTCACCCTATAGGGTAATCCGCCCCTACACCAACTTCAGTGACTCTGATTCTATCTATATTCTCCAGGTCAGCCTCCAGGTCTCCAAGAGAGCCTGGTGAGAGGGTTGCTTCAAACCAGAATGCCAGAATTCAATAATATATTATACATGGTAACTTCTTAGCATAATCCCCAAAATTCACTGGGGTTGGGTAGGAGCCCACAGAGTGCACAGCTCTCCATTGAATCCTGGAAAATATTTTATACAGGTCTTTTAGGATCTCAATCTTGTTCATTGAATAATTCTTTCTCATGACCAAACCTACTGAAATGACCATAAACCGCTAAAATGTGACACATACCTAAGGTTTTCCTTTGGTAAATACTTTTCCCAGTGAAGTTAATATGCTCGGGAAACTGCAAAAGTCCCATTATCTTTGTGTTAATAATAGTGTGGCGATAACACTACCTAATGCACTCTAAAACTTTATTATGCAAACACTGGTTAATACCAAGCACTTAGCCCCAAAGCTGCAACTTCAAATATAAACAGAGAAGTAGCTTTAGCATGAAAAAGACAGTTACAGATATACTTTCCAAAAACACAGTTCAAAATATGGCCCCAAACTGATGTCAGATTTTCCTAGATGCAGCTTCTTTGCTAGTGCAAAATATTTTAGCAATCTTTGTGCTACTCCACTGAGCTAAGAACATACACACCAGCTGAAGTTTAAACAGGCTTTGCCTTCAAAGACATATTGCCTACATGTTCCTAAGCACAGAGATAGCAAGGGTTGCAAATTTACTCTCACACTGGGGAAGAAAGGACCTTAGTCCTAAGGTTGCTGCTTCATTGCATCCCTAGCGTTTTTTTTTCTTGTCACCTTCAGCCACTTATTTGTGCCTGCTAAAACAGCCACAAAAAATAAGTTAAAACAACTAAAGCATGTGAGGAAAATCAGACATTTCCCTTGGATTTTAAATTAATTTAGCTCCATATGT